ATTTCAGGAAACTTGCGTTTTAATTTATTACTTTTTATGGAAAATTAACTGCAAGCCAATCACGTTCCAAGATTTGCAGAAAAAATGGGGAGGTTGCTGTATGAGTTTTTTTTTGTAGTGAGGTCTGGGAGAAGCAGCAAGTGCACAGCAAGTGCAAAACAGCAGACACAATCGACAACTGTGATGACAAGCAGGCAAGCAAGTGCGACCAGCAGGCACACATATAAGCATCGAGTTTTTATACATTATATAATGCATTGCGCAACATCCTATGCACTACACAGCCTTTCCACTGGTATTTTATCAGTGTAGCCCTGTGTGGTTGATGCTTGGAAGAGGCTGCCATAATGCCCATTAGGGTCACCTAGCGCCATAGTGTGGTGGTCTCTTGCCAGTGACTCCCATCTAGTTGATCCAGAGCAATGTTTATTCTTTTGACTGCTTTGCACATCCTCTTCTCATATTTATATTTTATCTATCACCTTGTACAATGGAAATTAGTATTGCAGTTACCCATTATATTCAGGGCACACATACAAGAATTGGGACCTCAAGGACTGTCTACATTTCGTGGCAAAAAATTGTTTGAACCTGACATCAGAGTTCAAACAAGAAGTCATAAATGATTTAAAACGTGAATTTGATCTGACGAGCAAGCATCAGTCAATATGTCAAAAAGGAAGAAACAAGGCAGCAAAATTGTGTAAAGATGTTGACAGGTTGTTTGCATCAAAAGATGTGATAACATTCTTTGAAGAACTGGACATGAAGGTAAAATCATGATTGGATGCTTGGGTTAATGTACAGATGTAATCAATAATGACTGCTTTTTAGGCAACTGAAAAGTCAAGACTTCAGCTATTGAAAGCCAAAACTACCAAGCCAAAAATAATTGTCATCTCGCAGTTTTTAATAGCAGATATTTTTACATGCAAAGTGTTTAAATTGTATCACTTCACACGAATTTAATAAGCTTGTAAATCAAAATAAACTTGCCAAATGCTACATAATTTGTGAAATACTTTTATTTTCAATATGATAACATTAACTTTATTATTTTTCATTGATAAGTGTGTATAGTACATTCACAAATTTAAAATCAATCGAAAACATATTCTTCATTATGTAATATGAATAAGAGCTCAGCCGACTAAGTAAAATAAAATAATAGAGAAGCAAGGTTTCAAGGGAGGAAATTTGCCGAACCCTAACCCATATAATGGCAATTTCTTCCCTGCTACTCTACATTGCTATCTAAACTATTACTCAATTCTTTACTATATACCCATCGCATAATTATTGTTAAATTTTGGACCCCCTTCACCATAATAAAAGCTTTTCACGGTGCCTTTTCCAATCTTTTTCTCAGTAAGTTCACGAACTTCACGTCTCACAGTTTCACACGCATAATCCATAGTATCCCCCACTTCCTAAAAATACGCTTAAAACGGTTCCTATTTTCTTCGAGAGATGAATCTGATAACGAGCTTCCACGTGATCGGTTCGAAGGCTCAGATTGGTTCTCACTCAACTCAAATATTCGACCTAAAGTCTTTGGGCAACTGCATAACGTTGGATCATTTCATTTCGGAGAGCTTCCAAATTCATTACGGCAAGTTTTGCAGAGGGATTATATAATCGATTCTTACAATTGGACAGACATTTATCAATCTCTTAACTACTTTGTCTTTCTACTTCTCTCGCGGAAAAACTTCGAGTTTTGTTAGCGAAGAGATTAAGTTTTTTTGGGAATGCACTCCATTAAGTAGGTGTGGATTGCCCGAATTCAAGGGAACAAGTTCACAACGGTCGAAATATGTTTGGAGAAAACAAAACTAGAATCAATGTTAACGAAGAATGTGCAAGTATAAGACGGCTTATTTAGTCAACTTCCTCACATGACTCAGTATGTGTAACCTCCGAAACAGCGCATGTCAATTTCTGGAAATGATTTACGGATCTCTGGGGTGAGTTATTATTATATCAATGTTCATTTCAATAGCAAACCTCCGCAATCAAATTATGGCTAGAGTTTAAGGATTAAATTAATGGCAACCATTTCAGAATGTTTGGCTTTGCTTAGTTTTTATTGATTTAATTTTGTTCATCAACTTTATTAGTACTTTCCACCTCTTTATCTGCTCATAGACGTAGAATTGATGAATTCAAACACAAAAGCTGTATTTTACAATAACAGTATATAGCTCACGTTTTGATAAAAGGTCGTTGACGAGGATTAGATAAAGTCAGATTTGGTATAATTTTAGTGTTCTATTATCTAACGACATACTGCTCGCACAGCATTTTACAACATTATATTAATGGTGGACCTCTCAATTCGTCGATAGAGAGACACCTGATAATTATTCATTAAAACATACAGGTTTAAACTCTTTTATCAAAGACTACGCAATTTATTAAACCACAAAGCTGATTCCTCCTTCCGTCAAGTATACTTTTCACCACAATTATATTGTTTATAAGCTAGATTAAGGTGTCGCTGAACGAGTATTTTACGATTAAACAGATAACTGGGAAGATTAGAAAGGACACGACTATTATTAACGGTCAATAGTGATAGAAAAGCATTAAAGTTAATGCATCCGTTATTATTGCATAAATTAATAACAAAGGGAACAATAAGAAAGGGTGTAACCTTATTCGTATCAATGTCTGATCTAAACATCCCTTCACATGTAAGGGGTATGACTATTTATGCTCGATGTACAGTAAATCCTAAAAGGCAGATCAGTTGATACTAAATTAATGCTTTAGTGACATCACATGAGTCAACAGGGACCCGTAATATTTTGTATGCATTATGAAAAGAGGCAAATATAATCGGCTTCTCAAATATTGAATCTCGGACGTAGTAGGAGCCTTTCCGCGGTCAGCTTGGAAAATAATAAAGCTGATGGAAAGGTCACTTCCATTAACTATATTCCCAAAGAAAGCCCGCAATGTTCTCATTCTAACGTTATTCTGAACATAAGTAGAGTAGTGGCAAGTCAGATCTTTGTCCATATTTAGACATTCGGCAAAAGGGGAGTATATGGTCATACTGTCAGATAGCAATGCCCATACTAATACGCGATAAGATTACGCAAACAACGTCCCTTGTTTTGGATAAGCAGAATGCAATTGTGGCTTTGTGCGACCATCGCCAATATATTGGAGATTCTGTTACCTTTTTAATATCAATTGAGTTACTCGAAGAAAGAAAGAAAGAAAAACACAGAAATCCAATCTACAACAGCAATCCGTTATATCCATCTATAATCATCCAAGGACATCCCGAATGTCCTCGTAAGCCTTTAATCGCTGGAAAAAAAACCATGTTATCCTAGTTCAATTTTTATACTTGGGGCTTATGCTCGTTTGTAACATCATATCGAAACAAATAAACTTCCCCATTCTACTTTTATAACTTCTCACTCACTACTGGCTCACTTAGAGAAAAGCTAGCAGATACACAATATCTACAACTATATTCACGTTCCCTCCAATATGACGACTGATCACTCACAGAAACACCTCTCAACTTCAGAATCACGCTCTTCCTCTCATTCTTCCCCTCTATTCTCACTAGTAAATCTCCCCAGCAGACTCGTTCTCGAGAAAGTCTACCTCAACGGATTACACGCATTACGTCGCTTTAAAATAAGGAATATATCTCCACATACTTTACTAGTAAAATTACGTTCAAACTTGGGCTCACAAATAGCCTTCCAGTTAACAAACGAAAATCTTCCCGAGTTCCAAACACATCAACTGGATTCGCCCTCACGCGAAGAAGATTTCTCAACACGCAGTCCTTCCCCATCCGTATCTCTCTCCAACATCACTACTAACACCGTTGCTGCTGCTGCTGCCGGGGCCTTTGGTGATGCTGCTAATGGAGATCAGTTTAACCAATTGTTTAATTATGTAAATCACATTGATGAGGTGGAAATATCACCAGGTTGTGAACAAAAGATTATCCTGGCTTTTCTGCCCGCTATTGACAATAAAGGAGGATCAGTTCTCGGACGCGTATTGCCGGTCGGAAATAATGAATCTATGGCGGGAGTGGGTAGTCCAAATAACTTGACCGAGTTGGAAGATAGAGACATGAGAATAGGATATACCACCGAAGAAGAGGAGACATCAGAGTTTCACGAGATCAACGGATTGCTGTTCTTTTTTGCTTATATTGTAAATAAAGAACAGAGCGTCACCCCAGTAAAGACTGATTCGGAAATCGAGGCAAGTGGTCAGATTGGGAAATCGAAGAAGCCGAGTCCAAAGGAAGGTAATGGAATTTTTATACAAGAGAGGAGTTTGGATTCAATGAGTATAATGACATATAGTGCGATGGATCAATGTCTGATTATAGTTGTTTTATGGTTGAAGAATTTCTGAAGGAACTCCTCTTTTTTCCCCCCTCCCTTACTAACTTTGAATATAATTGTCCAAATGTTCTTCTGTATATTATTATACTCACTCTTATGTTTGTAAACTCCATTTCAATCTTGATATGCACGCTTCTGCAGAAGATAAACTACCTATTCACGACACTTCGGCACACTACCCGAAAGCCGATTCCCAACTTACAATCAAGTTCCGTTCAGCCGTATGCCGTTCGGTTCTATGGACAGACGTCGGAGAGACTGGGATTAATTTTGATGATTGTGTTGCTGGTGGTACTTACTTCAAGGACTTTACCATATGGAATCGTTCAGAAATAGAATTGTATTGGCTGTTGAATACCGTGGATTTGTCAAATTCAGATAGGGAAGATTGGCTAAAATTTACAGATTACGATACGGGAGAAGTGCTAGATGCAAAACCAATCTCTAGTTTTTCCCATCGGAGAATAAGAGTTACATTTAGACCCAAAGAAATTGGAGAATTCAACTATGACTTGCAATTGGAGAATGCAAACGATCCATCAAACGTTCTTGAGACTAGGATACATGCTGTAGTCAGATCTGTTCTACATGAAGAGTCTTTGGTAGTAAGCAGTGGGAATGTTTTGGATTTCGGTGACTGCTGTGCTGGAGTCTGGAGTAACCAGCAATTAGTGCTAAAAAATGTCAGCAACGCACCTTTGGAGATACACTTTAGTTCAGCTAACGCAGATATATTATTTCGTATCGAAGATGCTCTGGATCCGAGTACTTTAGATTTTAAAGCACGTAGTTATAGTGCTGACACTGATTCATCAAAGCGTCGAGGGCGAGACATGATGATCAGATCAGGAAGTACATCAGTAGGAGGCAGCACACCAACTGATGCTAACACAACGAGCGAAAGGTCGGTAAGTAGTACGTCTACCTCCAGAGCTCCATCACCTGCATTATTTGCGCGAGATATCGACATGATGGGGTCATCGACCGACAGTATAATGGTAAATCAGACTCTAGAGAACACAAAATCAACGAGTTTATATGGCAGTCCAAAGCACGAAGATTTAGGCATAGACGAAATGTACAAAACCAACTTTCCTAATTCATTGGCCGTCATAGGAGATCCACTAAGCAAGAAAATAGTACCGGAACAGGAGTCGGGCCTAGTTCAGATCGAAGATCTTGTCTTACGTTCGGGCAAAGAGAAGACCGTAATCGTATCTTACAGGCCCGAGAAAGACTCTTCTGCACGAGACTTTAATGCAGGTCATCTTATCCGGCGAACGTTTAGGATTATCCTTAATTATGCTCCTCTCACATCCAAACCGGTTAGTTTTGATCCGACTGTGATGGAGCGGAAAATAATCCAATGCAAAGCCCGAAGCTGTACTTCATTTGTCGATGTAAAACCAAAAGAAGTCAATTTCGGTGACGCTGATGTTGGAAAGCTCAAATCGATGCCTATTTATGTAACTAATCTTTCAGAACTGACAGCACGCGTTGAATTGCAATTTAGCTCCAAAATACTGAACGCTTCTCGACGAGATTTTACTATTCCGCCAAAGCAAACGATAGAAGTGAGGCTCGATTTGTATCCGCGCAGAGTAAACGTGGAATACAAAAAAGAAGTGACACTAGTGAATCTGCAGAATCGTGATAATGATCGAATAATACAAGTAATAAGCACAAATATTGACAAGAATCGGGTGACCTTGCACTCGTTGTTCTATCGCATTCTCACATCTACGAGAAGTCATTATCTGGATTTTGGGTCGACTGTCTTAAATTCATCAAATGTTCGTACATTTACGATAGAAAATGTTAGCAAGAAAAAGCTAGTCTTAGAACTGACTTCGTCGCTACCCGAGGAGATTGTTATGTATCAAAAACGACAGACAGTAGACGACGCTACAAAGACTGGTGCCCCCTCTACATCAACCATAGTTGACAATGCAGACAATCAATCACCCAGCGTTGAAGAACTAGAGTCTCGCAGTTCGCAAATACAACGAAGAAAAAAATTATTAGAGTCTATAGCCGATAAACGACCAGTAAAAAAACTCCCGGCCTCCATAGAGTCGAGCGGGATTGGTTCATCCTCACGAGATATTTTATTAACAAATGCCGTCCTCTCAAGTGTTGTCCATCATGACACGTCTTTTACAGATGCATATTCAGCTGCATATTTGGATTTAGCTGCACCGTCTGCAAAAGATGCTAGACGTCCTCCGCGAAGACGACCACATAAATTGCAACCAGGTAAAAATGCTGGTTATGGCCCTGCTGCATTCGACTGGCTAAAAGAAAGTAACGGTACAACGACTAATGTTTCTGGTAGCTCTCTGACTACCTCTGGTTCCCTGACAAATGATGACGATAGTTACCGAAAAGAAGGTGAAGCACATTTTGGAGATAACGATTCTCGATGGCGCTCAACTTTCAACAGTGCAGCAAATTTACATAAACAGTTGTCTATGACAGAACCCATCGAATTTTCGCATATGCCCGTTGAGACAATTGTTGCTGCCTTTGTGAATAGTAAGCCTATATCATCTCTATTATTTCCTAAATCGGCTGTCGAGGAGACGTACGTACGTAATCAAATAAACCTACGAAGGGGATTATCCGATCGCATTGCGGAACGGCAAATCGTCCGTATTTCGACTGTAGAAATAAATCCAGGCACTGAAAGACAAATTATCGTTGTTTTCGTACCCGACGGTCAACTGCGCCAACATATTCAAGGGCTACCAAAGACTCAGGACGCCAGAATATTTTTACGCTTGGTAGAATTTGATCAGGATATCGAACAACCAGAATTTGAAAGTCTAATTCATGGTGATCTAACGCAAATACCAGTCAGAGAACTTCTTGTTCGATCGACGCTGTGCAGGTCTATTATGGATCTTGGACAGAAGAATATAAACTTTGGAGTAATGGACAAGAGTGAGCGACGCAACAAGTCTATAGTCATTCAGAATCGCAGTGAAGTACCTCTACTATACAATATTCGCAAATCCGGTTCAATCGCTTCTGGAGACATTGTGTTTAATTCTGGGCGCATGGGTGTAGTTCGAGGATATGGTAAGAAAGAAGTGGAGTTCAGGTTCTCTCCAAGCCTCGCTGGGCAATTTCATGAGCGGCTATTTGTTGAGAATATACAAGATAATAAGAGCAACTCTGTCATATCCGTTAAAGCTAATATACGGAGGCAATCGATTTTTTTTATTCAATCATTGAATATTGATTTTGGTGCTTGTCTTATTAATGAGACTGCCGCAAGAGCTCAGCAGATAGTCATAAGTAACATGTTGAAGCAATCGCGGACTTTCGAGATTCGCTTTGATCCACAGGAACTCAAATACAACTCGTGTTATGGAGATTTACATTTTGTCATCCAGGATGACATAGAAGGTGCCCCATTACCTAGTGGGCTTATCAGCGAAGATATTCAAGAAGAAATAGAAGGTTTAGAACAAAAAGTTAAAATTGCAAAACGAAAAGGGCAAGGCGATAAAGCAATGAAAATCGAAAAGAGAATCGCTAGATTACGGAGAGGAGAAGTAGGCAGAGATACGACAGAAGATGAGCAAGTGATATCATCAGAAACTCAGACATCAGAGTTGTTACCAAAGGAAGACAACTTGGAAGCTGTCAACGATACACATCAACTATCAACAGAAGAGTCAGATATCGCGAAGGTTGAGTCTTTAGAAATGACGCGACGAACAAATATAGTTACATCTAGTAGTGGAAAAGATACACCAAAGTACAAAAGAACAGAGAACTCCATAATATTTCCTTTAGAAGGTCGATCTACGAAAACAATATCAGTTTACTTCAAAGCGATCTCCACGAAGAATGCAGTGCCAGGTGAAAACGACGAACATTCAGATTCCCAGACATTAACACAACCGTTAACATTACAACAAATAAGCGGACGCATTTTTGTGCACGAACATAAGAACACGGATGTAGTCAAACATGTTACATTCCACGCAGCAGTTTATTATGATCGTTCTTTGTATTCACAAGCTCTTGAAAAAGATGGCTCTCTGGTTGACGCAATTCCGGTGCCTGTGCCCACCCTTGCGCAAAATTTACAAACGACACCTGTTACTGCGACGTCGATTACTGTTTCGCGCACGGAGGTAACAGATGCAAACGAGAGCGAGCATAGTTTGCCTTCTTTTGCACACAAAATGTTTGCAACTCCGCTTTCGCACGTAGTAGAAGCCATATCATCGATACTACCTGACCATCGTCATTATTCACATCCGATTAAGGTTACAGACAGTTCGGATTCTCATACGACTCCTGTGGAACCATTTCAAAAGCATTTGATTATTGAGCCCACGACGCTTGATATTGGTCGATTAGAAGTAAATCAGCAACACAGTTATTACTTCAAGATCTCCAATCGGGGTGATGTTGAACTTCAGTATGAGATATTAATACCTAAAGGAGAAGAGACATTCTTTCAAGTTAATGAACTTACTGGGATACTAGCCCCATCAACGACACAACGTGTCGATTTCACAGTAAAAGCTGAACATGTGGGACGTCAAGCCCATTCATTACTAATTCATAATCTAACAAACAAGTGCCACTGCAAATTTACTCTCCAAGGATATATCCATCACGCACACTACTTGAAGTTTCCGTCTTTGGGCAAAGACGGTCAAGCAGAACTAGACTTGGGATATTGTTATGTCGACCCTGAACGAAAATATTCTCAGGTTACTCCGCTTTTAATCGAGAATGTGACTGACCAGGATCTCTATATCAGCTGTCAGAGCAATCTCTCTCAGCAAGTATGTATTTTCCTTGACGAGCAAGGCGAACGTGGACAAGTAATTGAAACCTTACTTCGAGCAAGAACGATGATGACTGTCTGGGTTGCCCTGAGACCAAACTTGTTGGGGACCATGCTTGGTACTGGATGGCGTAACACCAATATGGGAGCGGCTGGAACAGGGGGTCAGATAGCAGCTGCAACTTCTACGAACACTATTTCCGAAGATCGAACATTGGTTGGCGGGATCAAATTCACTATACGAGTGAAAGAAATCAGTCCGTCATTGTCGACAAGTTTAGGCGAAACTCCCGCAGACGAAGCAAGTATAAGTGAAGGAAAGTTAATTATGGTTACCAGTCAGACGGTCAAGTTTACCTCTCTTATTGGCGTCTCGGTGTTGTCTCTATCGGACACTTTGATTACTCTTGGTTCGACATCTACATTAGGCGAACCCATTTATGGCTCCTTCAAATTGCGAAATATGTCCAGACGTCTGCCTTTGGATTATGTAGTAGAGTGCCCTAGTGGTAACATTATTCTTGACCGCACGCATGGTACGCTCGAAGGGTGGGGTCCAGTGGCTCTTGAAATGGAACAAATCCCTACGAACACGTCAGATGCTGGAGAGAGCGAGGTTGAGGTTCTTTCAGGCGAAATCGATATCGAAGATAAGTCACAAAGAATCATTAGCTTTCGAGTTACCCCATCGAAATATGGCTTGTTTCGAGACAAAATTGTAGTGAACAATGAAAATCATACTGGTCAAACGTTTGAAATTGAAGTTCGACTATTTGTCGACGAAGAGCTGCTTCATATAGCCAAGACAGACATCCCTGAAGATAGTATAGACAGATTGATAGTTGATACTGATCTAAAATTTGCAGACAGCATTAGAGAATCTGAGCGATTACCCGCACTTATATGGAACAACGTATGTGTAGCAGTCATTAACGAGGAATCAAATTTGGAGAACAAGGTTGATGTTGCTGGGCCTGGTTCGGAAATTAAAGCTGTAATCCAAAAAAGCTCTTCAGCAACGGCTACCCCATCGTACGAATTATGCATAGAAGTTAGCAATACATCAAGGACAGACACTGTACAAATTCTTCCAAAGAGCAATTTAGATGCAGACGTACGCTGGGAATCGTCAGAAGGATCTCACTTTATTCAAGCTAAAGCTAACGATATACAGAATGCCGACGATAACGTATTTCGTACGTGTGGAACTTCTCTCGAAATGTCTCCAAACAGCAAGGCTTACCTTTATGTAAGTTGTCCATTTCCTACCATGCTCAATAAATCCGACTCAATTGCACTCAAACAGGGAAAATTAGTAAACACAGCAGGGCTATTACTATTGTATGACAAAGTACGAGATGTTGCTGTCAAAGCCATCGAGTTGCTTGCCGATTATTATGTATCAAAGGGAGAACTGAGCACGAATATGATTGACCTTGGTAAAATTGGACATTCAAATTCTTGGGCGGATGTTACATTTCAGTTCACTGTTAAGAATTTGTCAAGTGCACCTTTGCAGTATGAATTGGATAGTCCCGAATGTATAGAGATATTGGAAGAAGATAGCAAAAGTTCGGAACAACCAATGAGGGGGGAAGCTGCATCGAAACATATAATATCAGCTCGTGACGAGAGAATATTTTTGGCTGTTCTTAAACCTCTACAGATAGACAGCTTTTCGCCTGGAGAACGAGCATTTTATATCAACGTTGTCAATATGTATAATCCTAACAACACGATGAAATTAAAACTGAAAGCGATTTTAACTCTTCTCGAACTCCAGTTTGATCGACTTGTATTGGTTCTTCCAGCACTTTATCATCCTATACCCAAGCCAGATGCCCCATGTGATTCTTGGTTCACCATATCCAATACTTCTGAGGATGATATACGCTTTGAGATTGGCGTCGAACTTGCACCTGATGTGTCACAGTTTGTAAGAGTTGAAGTTCTATCAAGATTTTCGAATTCACCTTTAATAGGTAGCGTATCGGTGAGCGCACATGGCTCAATTGAAGTTCGTGTTAGAGCTTATCCTATTGAGAATGTTCGTATACCACAACAAGCAGCATACCTTGTGAATCCTGATGGTGTTGGATTTGGTAAGCTTTGGCTTGCGACTAAAAGTGCTGAAGGGGGCGTATTGAGAGTATCAAAGAATATTCCTATACGGGGTATTATAACTGAATCTTCGACCTTTGTTGTATCTGAGAAACGTATTGTTTTCAAGACGGCTTTGTATACTTCAGACAATGATGCTAATGCCGATGCAGGTGAATATGATCAACGGCCATCTGCGAGTCGTCGCTCGTCTATACGCAAGCCAAGGGAACTTATAGAAAATATAAACGATGAAGGCTCATTACAGCAAGACTCTTTTGTCATATGCAATTTATCAGAAAAGATTCCCTTGCAATTCCGAATAACGGTTGAAGGGCCTCTCGAAGTTTCAGCTAGCGAAGTAATCAATATATCGAATGTAGACGAACATGGATGTGGTGTTGTTGGGGTGGGACAGAAGATGGCTCTATTAGTAGAATTAAAGGACTCGGACAGAGTTATTTCTGAGGACATAAAGATATTTATTGAAGATAAGGAATCACTAATAAGCCAAAGGCAAACTGTTCTTGTCGGCATTATATCAGAGACGAGAGAACGTAGAGCTACAACAAAGGGAAGAAAAGTTGAAACAACAGAAACACCGATAATAGAGGAATCTAACAATAAGCATGATACTCGACAGTCCTACAATAAACCAATGCCTCGTCTGAAAACATCGTCTGATCTACCTATAATAAATTTGCGTGGATGTAAGCGTATTGATGAAACTGTTGGACGTTACGAATTAGATCTTGGGCAACAAGATCTTGGATCTCCTACCATAACCAGGAAGATAACGTTGGAGAATACATCAATGAAAGAGATTTCGTATAGGGTAAAAAGTGTGTCTCCACGCGACAGGTCATGGCTTAAGATTAGCCGCACTGAAGACACTCTTGAGGCTTCTATTGATGAGCATCGTCGAGTAGCTCATCAACTAACATTAAGCTTTTTTCCAACGACGAGAAGTACATTTCTAACGTATCTGATAATTGAGAATATGAACAATCCGGCAGATACAAAAACGATAAGAGTCGTTATGGAGGTAAGAATAGATAAAATAATTAAATAGTTATTATGATTTGACTTGTATATTAATTTTAATACGTACTACTCCTGGTTTTAGGTAGTTGCTCGACAATATCTTAGGCGTGGAGCGAGCGTCCCAATGGAAAGCAACCATGTTTTTGACATATATGTGAATGGAGTTGATCCGGATCAGTCATATATTGAGATGTTGAATCTGTTTCACGGTTCAGAGTATTCAGCTCGCAGTATGGTCGTGCACAACAGAGAAACTGTACCTCTTGAATTTACATTTCAGACAAATCTTGACTATGATGATGGAACGGAGATGGCATTTTCCACTTCTCGGACGTCGGCTAAGCTATTTAAAACTCTAGTTGTCGACCCGCAAAGTAATGTCCGAGTTTACATACGTCTCCGACCACTTCCTTCTCGTGAAATACAACAGGCCCTCGATAGGGGTATACCAAGAGATCCTAGTGAAGTAGAAGAGAAGAATATTGAAATATACGTTAATTGCAGACTAGTAAAGGATTATCAGCAAACAGTCAAAGTAAAAGCAGAATGCAGAATGCCTAGCTTGCGAGTTCATTATTCAGATAATGGAGCATTAATGGGTAAGAATCGACTGACTTGTTGCGGAATTATAGATTTATTCATTCATTTACGGATGGAATTATTTGTCAACTAGGGAAAATCTCTCGACGTGATGATGAGGAATGGACAGTAAAGTTTGAACAAGAATATCGTACAATTTCAATTGAGAATTTACTCGATTCACCACTTGATTATGAGATAGTCAACGACACCGTTTATTTTGAATTGGATATACCTGATGATGATAAACGAGCTTCTCCACGTTCGAAGCGCGTTGTAAACGTTCGCCCCAACTATAAAGCCATAATCGACAATATTGAGAGCGTGCGAAGGGTACGTAAAATTGGCAAATGAATAACAAACTTTAACTTCGATAAACTAAGACGTTATTTCTGCAGGAAAAATATATACAAGAAAATGTAACTGTTTACAACAAGAATAGACCGTCCGAAAATTATTGGATACCCTTGCAGATGAGTTTTGGACATATATCCACCTTTCAGGTTTGTTAGGTTGAGCAATTTTAGTTCGCTTTCCCGGCTCACCATCTAACGACGGGACATCTTTATAAAAGCTTGCATCCGGTTACAGGAATTCATATGCATATGGTGTTATTGAGAACCACATTGTCCGATTTCTCAGCGATTTTAATAGCAGCACTGCGCTATTCGCATTATTGACGGAAGCAGATGATGTACGTATCTCGGAATGTTGGATAGCAGCGCGTATACACTATTAGATGAACTGATTGATAAATTCATATAGGGTATCAAACGTAAAATGGTGGACTTGGAGTTCCGCTATTTCTACATTGTTGATCAGCTTGTTCACTGTTCTACGAATAAAACTGGGGAAAATTGGTTCCAGGTGGCGATGCTCTTATTTGGGTAAGTATGATAGTTAATTTGATTGTTGAAAGGTAATGGTTTAGATTGTTAATACTCTCCATATATGTAGTACTGTCCTGGGGAGCAATATATTCCAGAAGTATGCGCCGGCATATCTGAAACCGCCCCAAAATGCAGACGCAGAAGTGCGAATATGGCCACCACTACTTGCTGAATGGGTAATTACTGTCTTTGGCAGTTGTTAGCAATGAAAATAGATGAATAAGTATTTCTAACGATACTTGTTATTATTAGGTCTCCCCCCTGAACTATTTCGTGTCTTTCTTCCCATTTCGCAATTTAGGCATTGAAACGTTAAGAGAACTACACAGAAGCCTGATAATTGTCGATAAATCGTCGGTTTAATACTAAAAGATTAATCATTGTATTATTAATTTACGGCTACCATACTATAATTTGTTCATTAATCAGTTTGCACATAAAAATACCGAATATAACAATGAATAAATATGCAGTATTAAGCGTTCTAATGGAGGGGATTAGATCTGAAGATTGAAAATTCTAACAAAACATAAACCGGTGGACCTAAAAGCATTCATTATATTTTCTTTCGAACATTCGCTCAATTATTGAAAAGCTATTTCACGATGTTCATACGTTGATGGTTTTTCGAAACCATGTAATCCATGCCATGTAGTCAATATTTTGGAGTCGGCCTACCTAAACTTACTGTACGAATTTAACAGTATAACTTATTATTAGCAATCTACGATAAATTGCTACAAGCTGTAATATTACTGTAAATATGAATATTACTTCTAGCTTTTATTATGTACTTCTCTGAATGCCTTTCGCATCCTCTTGATGAATGCGTAGAGATCACGCGTAATATTAAGTTCGGTCACCAATTGATTATATACGTCTGACGACAGGGGACATGCCAACACTGTATTACGGTAAAATTTGATCTTAGCATCCTTATTGATAACAATCTCAAACTCTTTAGACTAACATAAGTACCTTTGTATTGATGTTCGCTGCAGTCCAGCGTAAATGAATACTGACGTGTTGGATCACGATCATTAATACAAGTAAAGATAAATGCCATTACGTCCTCTACATCAATGAACCATAATGTGTGAAAAACTTGACGCATTAAATCAAATAAATAAGAGTGTAACGTCGGTTCAACCTCTCACTGCTCGCATCTCCATTGCAGATTTCTCTTGATATAGTTTTAATTCCGGCTCGTTTTTTACTGACTGTTTCTGTAACCACTGCAACCTGGCGTTAGAAGCTATATGCGAGAATACCAGGATTAGACAAGGATGAGCATTAATAATATCCAAACGTATTATATAATAATCACCCTCTCTAGCTTTTCTCACTTCTTCTTCCATATCAGCAACCTGTTTTTGAATACTCTCTTTTCGATCCATTAACAGTTGATATTGATTTTGGGATAATGAAACATCTCGCTTAATGTCATCCATCTCTTCTTGTTCCTTTTTTAATATCTCTTCTAAATTTGATCCTGCCTTTAAAGCAGATTCGAGCTCACGCATATTCCTTTGTCGTTCCTCTTATTAAAAGTGTGTCAATGCGCGAAGATTATAATATCAACACTGTAACGAGTGATGCTCTAAACTCGGCATAATTTACCTTCAAACGTATGAATTCCATTTATCCATTTTTGCTTTTTTATCTGAAGATTCTTCTTTGCTAAGTTGATACATGCCTCTATCTTTTCCCTACACTTATTGTTATCATCTAGAAATTTCTCGTAATCTAGTGTGATTGGAGCAAGCAAAGGCGGACTTGAATCGTTGTCGTCAGTTGGCAAGCGAGCGACTGGTATTGGGCCAGGAGTGCGATTATAAAAGCGTTGTGGTGTTGACATGTTGGTGAGATTTGGTTTATGGTGTTGTTGAGAATTGGATGTTTATTAATGAGCGCGACGCGAATTCTAACCAATAACGTTTGTGTCATGTGATACGAAAATATTTAGAACAAATAAAATTAAAATTATGCATACGCTGTTTTTTATGACGCGTATCATCTCTCAACGGTTGATCCCCGACACTGGAGAACGAAAAGACATTAATTATGCTGAATGGATGTCCCGTCTTACAAAAGTAGCATATTTCAACGCATATAATTTGTGGCTTTAATACAACAATACATCCTATTAAAAAATTACATGTGAAAATCGAAAAACTTCTCAAGATGAGAAACGAATCAATTTTAAGAGGTAGGTTTCTCTGAAAGGTCGTTCGAGACAGTCACCGCACTCCAGACAATTAATGATTCGAGACGGGACAATAGATATAAGTAAAGAGCCGCGGGGCAAGTTGGCAGACTTTCAGTCTCTCAAAGAATATGAGGAAAGACTACTATCTCAGAGTAACATATATCATACAGCTTGCTACTCACCTCTTACACAACCGATACTATAAGCACATCTCTCAGCCGACTGTAGATATAGAATGTATTACGAGCTAATCAGAGAGGTATAACCACTGGAACTATTATTCGGACATTAGACTCCAATAATTATATCAGCTTAACTTATCTATCTCTGTCCTCTAGAGTGGTAATATTCGTCAGAAACTTCAAACATTATTCATACCGTCAGGAGAAACCTATCCATTTGAGATGGGTTGGGTTCACCAGTTTGCTGAAGACGAACGAGGAATCGAGATTTCTTTTTTCATAAGGCACATCTTACTAGACTTTGTTGCAATGTTCAAGGTCCTAGTTCAGAATATCAATATGTCTGAAAGTGTTTGCCCATATTATGGGTCTATAATTAATGTATTCCTCTCTGATTTCTGTGCTGTCACTAAAATTGCTTAGTAGTAAAACAATTCTGGGGTGGGACATTATTGTGTTTATGATGACTGAAAAAAAAAGCGTGTCATCAAGGACTGCCAACAAGGCTGTGATGCAAGTAACCTTTGAGGTTCTCCTTCCTACTTTGTCTTATAGTTAATGGAATGAAGAAAGTGGTGACGAATGCTTTACCTCCCGACTTGCTTTTTTGCGTTTGTAATGAAATAGGCGTTCGTTTTAAAAGGATCTGTTAACAAAGTTTCACCCGGCAAAATATAATAGTATTATAGTTTCTTCCTACTATGCGCACAATTTCTTCGTTGCAACTAAACGCTGGTCATAGCTATACTAATATTAATGGCAACTTTCGTGGCCTTAGCCTAATGAGTGTTTCTTATCCCAATGGGCCAGCATTTTCACTTCTGCTACTACTGTTGCAATTTTATTGGTAAGAATCGAAAGTAATTATTAAAATCTCCGTCTACGATGTACACCGTCAATAGAATTTCTATTATCCTGCTATTCATTGTCGTGTTTGCTTCAAGGATCTGAACTGGATTGTCAACAATGTACGTATATGTGTAGATAATAATTACTCAAACACGATACGTGATGTTCTAGCGACTTTGTGACGTATTGTTGCATCGATGAATTTCACATAATAACTGTATTTAATATCATGTATTGATATTTTATACACACGTCAATGATAACTGCAATGAACAAACATGTAAATTATATGAGCATTGGATTCTTGGTTGTTGAGCTAATGATGATTGACAACGAAAATCGATTCGCGTCTTCGAAGAATAGTATACCCAATTTTGGTATACAACAGTTATGGTTAACAAAAATATAAGTTATACTTTGTCGTTGCGCATCGGAATATCGAAATTTAAATCGTACTTAATATTATGTGTCAATTTTTGGTACACACATTGGCAACAGTTGAATAGGAAAATGATCTCTTACGAGTAAATATTGTTCCATTATTTAATAAAAGAGATATTAATATAGAGAATTTTTATTTACAAATAATTATATATAAAGACATAAAAAATTTATTAAAAAAAATACATCTCTCTATTCTCTCGTCGTAAAAGCCTTCCGAAGTAATTTTCTCTCATAATCATCTTATTCTCCATTTGTACTCGCGTTAATTTATTCCCCAACTTTGATTCTCTTTTTTCCATTTCCAAACACACCACTCTTCCTTCGATTTCTTCTCTTTCATTGTTGGAGCTATCGAGTGGATGAGACTCGATAAAATTAATCAAATCCGAATATATTAATATACTTGATGATTCATCTTCTAGTATGAGGCTGATTCTTTGGCTACTCTTGCTCTATTTTCTGCACAACGAGTTTGGATCGGGCTACCAAGATAGCAATAGCAGATTCCTTATTGACCCTTGATAAAACCCCTTCCATTCTCTGTACACCTTCAAATACCACCACCTTTCCCCATATAACATAAATAAGAGTTTAATTTTGAAAATATACTTGAAAGAAATAATGGCAATAGATAGTTACCTTACACTGAATTACTATGAAATACCCCCTAAACCACCCACTTAAATCAACTCCTCCATCGCCCGGTTCATGTCTATGGATATAAATGAAAAAGCATCATCATAGCTATTAATCAATTGAAGAACGTTCACAGCATAAGCTGTGGCCACGAAGCGCTTTCAATTCAAATGGTTAATTTATCCTATTCACCACAGACCCGGGGCTGTTCTTCGGTAACGGAGATTTGAACGTTCACAACAAATAAATTATTATATCAAGAAATAAGTAATGTTTTAAAGATATCCTATTTATCACAGCTTTTCGGTATGGAGTCTCGTAAATATATACCCTATTGCCTCTGAACCCCAAGGCGTAACTTCAGATATCTACACTAAATAGTTACCCAATACAATAGCTTGCAAGCTGCGGTCATCAAGTGCTTTCAAGTCCCCGATTTACACCTAGTAGTTTTCTTGGTTGTCATATTTACTAACTTTTTATTGTTTAGATGTCTAATTTTGAGTTTAATATTTCATAAACTTATGGTAAGGGTATAAAATAAACAGGTACAATTATATATACAAGGCAATAATGTAATAAATGTTAATATGGTAAATTACCCTTTGACAGTATCAAAAGGTTTTTGGCTGAAAGAGAGCAAAAAATAGAAAATGAAAGAATTTTTTTTTAAAAAAAAATTAGATGAAAAAAACAAAAGAGATGATAATCCAAGAAAGATAACAAACAAAGAGTGAAATAGAATTATTGATAGAGTAGGAAGAAAGGGGATTTTTTCCAGCGCTGTAGTGATGAACTTCCTGACCTTGTGTAGTTGAGCCCACTATTTATGCTGCAATGATAAGGTATTTTGAAAATGAATTTCTCACAATCACAAAAATAA